TTACGTGTTTCTGTGTTACTGGGTAAACGCGATGAGGTAATTTAGAATATATTTGCAACAATTTCATGTCCTCTCATGTATGGTTATCAACTTCATAAACTGTATTTTGCTCTGCAGCCCATGCTAGTTGCATGTGCTCGGCAGATTATTGAACACATAAGGTATGTGTGGTAAATAAAGTTTTTGATTTCCGCTCTTTGTGAAGAATGATGCCCTGAATGAGAGATTGATTTCTCTTTACTGTTTCAAACCTTGCTTAATTTGCAGTAGCACAGGTTCTTCTAGGTCTTTGGTCTTGTCTCTATAAGGCACATGGAATAAACTAAAATTCCTGGCCTAGGATTACAATTATTCTGATAGAAATACAAACGGGTTTAGCAGTTTTCATCTAAAATCGCACTTCCGAGTCCCGTATATTTTTCCTTTTCAGGAAAAGGACCAAATGAGAGAAACAATCAAGTGCTCGAGGCTTCATACTTCAACGCTCAAATACTTGGGGGACTACATAATATACACGAGTATGTGTTTAAAGAAGGCAAAGAAGATTGAGGAAAAGTCAAGCCTGAAAAAGTCAAGTGCAGAGTAAAAGTCACAAAGTCACGAGCCAAGGCCAAAGAAAACCTTACTGTAGTTAGGGGAAAAGCCATGTACTAAAATGAGTTATAAAGAAAAACCTCGTGTTTTTATTTTTCTTAAAAATCTGTTACAAGAATAACAGGTACGAGAAAGTTATAGATGTAATTCGAATACATGTAAAGAATTATTCAAAACTAGACAAAGTTCAAATAAAAACTTGTCAATGTTATTTCAAAAGAAACATGTGTGTTCCTGTTTCTTTTATCGTATGTTAATACCATTATGAAGTTGAGACGTCTTCTTCATTAAGTGTCGAAATATAAAAGGGCCCTCTTTTATAAAATTCATGTTTAATTTAGTTATTCATGAAGTTAACAGAAGCATTTTCTAAAGAATAAAAATGCAGATTATTCTATAAGTCCTTAGAAATAAAGGCAAGAATAAATTAAATAGAAGTTCAAGATAGTAACGAGAAAACTTCTAAAATATTAAAGTTTAAGACTATGTAAAAACATAGTCGAAGAACTACAAATTGTTTATACAGATTGCCCTATAAAAGGACTTGGGGACTTGCGTTTCCAAACTCAACCCTCAAATAAAGCTAAGGGTTTGATTACAATTTTCCAAAATAAACCCTCAAATGAAACCAAGGGTTTTAAATATAACCTTCCAAAAAGGTACCTGCAAAAAAGAGAGAATTCAAACTGTTTAATTATCATTACGAAGATGAGGGAACTGAAGACGGCGCATCAACGGAAATGGGCTCAACTTGGGCAGGTGCATCAACAGTTGCGGGTTGATCTTGACTCACAGCAACAGGCTCGACAGGGCTTGGAAGAGTTGGGATACCCATATCAACTTCAACATTCACGGAAGCTTCGGCCACAAGAGAAGGAAAATCTTGAGTTTGTTGAGCCTTCTCAATGGTTTCATTGATCTTAGCCAACTCAGACTCTAAGTTGAAATTTTCTTGGCCAGCTTCAATCAGTGTATCACGGCGTGAGTTCAGAAACGCCCAACTTGCTTCAATAGCAGATTTCTCTTCAAGGGTCTCATAATCCCTTTCCCAATCAGCAATCTCATTCTTTAGCTCCTCATTTTCAGTCAGGGCAGAGTTGTAAGAAATTTGAAGAGAGGCATGGGAGCTTTCTAATGCACGCACCTTATCAGAAGAGACTCGAAGGTCTTCTTGTGCTTGAGTTAAGTTTTGCACAATCTCCCCAGAGTAAGTCTCTTTTTGACTCAAGAGAACCTTCAACTCTCTGATCTCTTCACTGGCCTTGGATAGTTGTTCTTGAAGGAAGACTTGAGACGTTCTTTTTCTTTTTCTGTTTGGCTTGAGGAAGCTTTTGCAACTGCTAATTCTGAGGTTAAAGATCGCACCTGCTGCTCTAAAGTACTCTTGCTCTCTTGTAAGAATTTCACATCAATTTGTAAACTCTCGAACTGCTCCTTCCAATTGAATGCCTCTAACTGAGAATCACGTGCTATCTGCACCAAGAGGGGGATTCTGTTCATCCATTTCTGTACCGATAAGATTGGCCTAAAAAAAAGAGGGGGGAAAGAGAAATTAGAATCCCAAAGATAAAAAAATTACAAAGTAAAAAAAAATGTAAATACCTTCAAGGTAGCATGCACAATATCGTTCATCAGAGTCACGGAACTATGGCTCTCCAGCTTTGCTTTTTCAATTGGGCCAATCAAAGGCTCCAGCCATACATCTGCCTGACCTGATTTCCTCAAAAGGCTGTTCTCAGCAGGAATTTCAATAACCACCCTCCTCATAGCAGCACTTCTACTTGAAGAACCCACCTCAGTATGATGAACGATTGGAGGTGGAATTGTCAAAGGAGGAGTGGTAGAAGAGGTAAGAACAGTCGAGGTAAGAACAGTTGAGGAAGGAATAGTAAGAGCTGGGGGTGGCAACGAAGGAATCACAGGCACGAGAGTTGAAAAAGAGGCTAGGGGTGTTTCATCTAAAACAGGCCCTAAACTTCCACTATCAAAACCGCTAATAAAAAGTTGTTCAATGGACTCACGAGTATCACCAGGGTCAATCATTGTCAGGAATTACTACCGGGGCTTCAATGGACTTAGTAAGAGGAACGGAATGACGGGGAGGCGCCTCTGCTTCGTCATCGGAAATTATGCGTCTTCGAGCTCGAGGCCTTGTCACCAAAGAGCCCCCATCTTCCTCTTCTTCGAAATCTTCTTCTTCAACGGCTTTTCTCTTAGACGAAGAACCGAAGACTATTTCTTGAGCCCTTTCCAAGGAGATACGGGTCCCCGAAGAGGCACGGGAAGCCGCAACTGCCTCGGCAGTAACTCCTCGAATAGCAAATCATGATAAAAAGATGGATTGAAATTAGAGCCATAAAGAGAAACATATGCATAAAAGATGAAACAAAATAAGTAACCCTTACCATGAGTCTTTACTTTCCAACCAAAACGGCTGGAAAGTGTCTTCCAAGACCTCCCATCCATTGGTGCGGTCTTCAGTAATCTGTCTACCCAGCCACGAAAATTGGGAACATCTTTCACAACTCCCATGGTTGCTAAAAAAAAGAAAAGCAAAATTAGAGATGTTGATAAACTTGAAGGAAAAAAGGCACGAACAGGATAAAAGACTTACATGCAAAGTTCCACTTCTCAGGGAAGGGAACGTTATCTTCACCCACTAAACCAGCAGTGGGGGCAGTAACAAACCGGGCATACCAGCCACGGTCCTTGTCATCCTCAGGGCTCACCAAAACCCTCTTACTCCTGGCTACTAGTGTGAAAACACCATTGCGAAAAATCCTAGGGGAGTAAAGATGAATTAGGTGAGGGAAAGTAAAGGGAACACCAGCTGAATTGGTTAAATGCCTTAAACGACCAACAACCCTCCATATGATTGGGCCAATTTGACCCAAACAAACATCGAAGAAATAACAAAAATCAAGAATGACTGGGTCAATGGCTCGTTTGAACCCTAAGGTGAAAGGGTATGTATAAACAAAAGAAAACCCCATCAAGTAAGAAGTGATTGTCTGATTTGGGTTAGGAATAATAATAGGAAAGTCATCACTCCAATGGCAATCTTTGCGAACTACAGGAGCTAAAATTTCTGTAATCTGAGTGGGAACAGCATCAGCACGATCTAAAGTAGAAACCTGATTCCTAAGAGATTCTCTGTCATGATAAAAAGACAATTCTGTAGGGACTATCTCTTCTACTAAAGGCTCACGTAATGGTTCAGAAGGTTCTTTACCCCTAGAGGAAGATTTTTGAGAAAGGGTACCTCTGGTTGTAGAAGAAGGACCAGAACTAGGAGATAAAATAGAAGAGCCTCGTACAGATCCCGAAATACGGTGCCTACCTCGCTTTCTGCCTCTACTAAGAGCGCTAGGGAAGGTATCAACAATGGAAGCCCTTCTAGGGTTAGGGTTCGATGAAAACATAATGAAAAAGGATGATACAAGGAAGAAACAAACAGAGATTTGAGAAATAAAGTGTTTAGTAAACTTTATGAGGTAAAGACAAAGGAAGAAGTTATATTTATACTGATGAGCAACCGTCAAAGGGAAAAGTGCAATGATGGAAGGACCATAATAATGATAACTGACACTTCGTAAACAGGGAAGCCGAAAAGAAAGCCTAAAAAAGTGCTGCAAAATTGCAGATCCAATAGGAAGGTGACACGTGTGAAACGCATTAAATGGAAGTGATAATTGAAGCGTCAATTCTGTCACAGCATTAATGGTGACAAAAATTCCCGTTTTAATGAGATCCACTTCTCAAATATTCAATTGATGAATAAATGGCAAGTGGGGGGACTATCTGTATTGGAAAAATTGAGTTTACATATTAAAGTAGTATGGAGATGACGTGTCGTGACACGTAGATTGGTCAAATGGTCAAAGAATTTCAACTAGCCAAGAGGCACGAGTAGCAATGGATGCGAGCAAAGGCAAAGGAAGAGGCACGGGCAGACATTCAAAGGATTCAACGCCCGTACCTATTCAAGACATTTAAATTCAAGAATCAAGAAGAATCAAGGGAATGAATTTGACAACACATGAGTCAAAATACAGTATTTAATAAGCCTTAAATGCTAAAAACGTTAGAGGATCTGTTTTGAATATAATGATTATGTAACGTAGCATTCAATGTCATTAATTGCCCATAATGGCCTTATTATGACAAAGGCAAGACATATATCTAAAAAAAAAAGCTATATAAAGGAGAGGGCTGAACAATTATAGGGACACTCTTTGGTTTACTTGTTTTATTCAATTATATTCTGGCTATCCAAATTACTTTCTTTTATACATTCTTGCGATTATCAGTAACCCGTATTCTTCTAAATTATAGCTTTGGTCAAAATTCTATTTTTTGGTTAAACAACTCCCTTCGTTCCAGTTTATGTGAACCTATTTCATTTTGGGTCCGCTCCAAAAAGAATAATCCCTTTCTAAATTAGGAAACAATTTAGCTTAAACTTACAATTCTACCCTTTCAAATACTTTGGGCCCCTTTTTAACTTGATTAGGACCACAATTTAAAGAGTCTTCATTTTTCTTTAAAACTCTATGCGTAGTCAAATAAGTTTACCTAAATTGAAACGTAGGAAGTATGTTAATTACTTGTCGTCATAGTAATAGATAGACACGAAAAATATGTTGCGTAAGTCTCTGCTGCTAGAACAGAATAGAGACGGTTGGAAATGACACAAAAGGTCAGGTGCT